TAAAACCAAAATTATTAGAAAATATTGCTTCTTTGCTTCAATATCTTGGAAAAAAGTCATGGTAGAACTCTGTCCTTGTCCCGGAGTTTCCTACTTTTTCCGCAACTGTCGCTGAAGTCAACTCGGAGTTCTGTTCTGACTCCTGCGCAACCTAAAGGCAGTACATAATACGAATACAAACTAAGGGTGTGTTGAATATAAATAATACAGATGGTCCGAATAATCCTTATACATTAGTCTAATCTTATGTGTGCTAATTTAAGTTTATTTGTATGAACTATTTTATATTTATTTTTTCCTAATGCTACTTCCGCAGTTAAGTCCCCAAACATTCTGTTTATTTTGTAGGGGCCTCGCCAATCGCAATCAAATTTTGAGGTTTTTTGTTCCTTGAGTAAGTATATTATGTCATCTACATTAAATTTACACGGTTTCAATGATTGGTCGTAGTAAGCTTTACTTCTGTGCTTGGCCTTTATTAGGTTCTGTGCCGCCGTGGTGGTGATCTTTGTAAAGAGTTCATCGAGATGTTGTGCAAACATTCAAGGCGTTTGCCTTTTCGAGAATTGCAAGGGTATGTTTGCCTTTACACCAAAAATTAACTCGTGGGGAGTAAAACCTGTGGCCTCATGTACTGAGGTATTATAGGAAAAAATGCAAAGTCTTATCCAATCATTCCAATCTATTTTTGTGCAATAATGCTTGAGGTAATTAATAAAAACACGATGTGCTCTTTCGAGTGAGCCTAGAGATTGTGGGTGGAAAGCAGTGGATGTCATTCTTTGAATTTTAAAAATTTTACAGAAATTTTTCATGGTTTGGCTGATGAAATTCCTTCCTTGGTCAGTATGAATTGGACACCCAAATCTGCAATTAGTCAGCAAGGGCATATGCAACAGTTGCTGTGTCTATACTACGTAATGGAATTGCATCTGAATACTTAGTGAGATTATCCTGTAGGATGAGTAAATACTGATTTCCTTTACTAGTTACGGGTAAGGGTCCGACTATGTCCATTTGTACCTTTTCAAAAGCGCATTTGGGAGTATCCATGATCTGCATCGGTTGTTTAGTTTTAATAGTGTAATTTTTGTTTGTTTGGCAGGTGGGACAGGATCGAACAAATTTAATTTCTTATGCCACGCCTGGCCAATAGAAACGTTCTTGGATAAGCTGACGAAATTCAAAGGAGCCTCAGTGGCCTTCAATTACCGATTCATGATGTTCTTTAATGATTTGGGGGCGTCTCATCTCAAGCGGGATTATAATGTCTTTACTGCACACTGTAATTACATATAGTGGATCATTAAAAATCTTCCTAAGCAGATCCAATATGTTGTTTTGTTTGGAAGAATTGAACCTATCCGAGTCTATTAATATACTGAAGGTTTTCGAATTCAAAGAGTCTGGGAGGACTTTAAGTGATTTTAACGAAGATTTGATATGATCAAGGTTAAATTCGTCTTGGGGTTCGGTCTTAAAGAACAAGAAGAAAATGGAATGATAAAAGGCCGTGTAATTATAAGAATGCTGCTTTAATAATGGAAACAAACATTTATTAGAGAACGTGTAAGTTACAAAAAGGTTGCATCAGCAAGTAAAGGAAAAAAAGGTGAATCCGGGAAGACAGAACTGCAACTTAGAACAATAAAAGGAACCATAAAACGTGCATCGCAGTTAGCACCTCTTAACACCTATAGTCTCGTAATGTTAATATGCCTATCATTAATTGCAACATGGAATATTTGTCGTTTGGGAAAGCCATAGCATTACCAACATTGGCTTGGTATTGCTGTATCTGCTCCATTGAAAATCCAATTTGGCCTAGTAGGCCCTCAGTGCTTTGAGAGGTGTCGCTGTGATTTAAGGAGGTAAAGTGGGCGAGATTATCTTGCTGTACGATGAGGTGATCCTTTTTGTGAAATATGGTGGGGGATAAGGGAGGAGATGCCGTTGATCTATTTACGTCGAAGTTAGTAAGCAAAATTTTTTTTCCAATATTGATTCTGTTTCCATTATTAATGTCTTGTACTAGTGGTTCTTTAAAATCTACAGAATTTCCCGGCGAGGTCACTCCACTGGATTCCCCTGTGCAGTCTTGGTCGCTAACATTCATACTTTCCCCTGCCAACCTCAATTCCCTTGACCGAGGTGGCCTTCCACCCGGTTCCCTTGACCGGATGGGATTTATCCCTATTCCAACTTCGATTCCCTTGATCGAGGCAGCCTTCCACCCGGTTCCCTTGACCGGATGGGATTTCCATGCACACACGGGGCACCCCTCTCCCCTGAGACATTGAGCACAGATTCCCTCTTACAGCCCACGATTGGGTTCCTGGGGTTCGGATTATACACCTGTTAGCCAACGATGGACTGAGTCGAGGAGACTCTGGGGTACTCAATTGGGGCGTTCCTTTATGTAATTCTCGCGAACTGTTCACTACTGTAAGTGACTTTTCGGATATTTCTCGGACTCTATTGGTGACCTCGTTTAATTCTACCACTGTTTTCCTGCGCGCTAGGAACACAAAGGCGATAAGACTATCATTTTCGGCGCATGATACTTCATCTATCCCGTCCAT